GAACAGATTATGATGACATTTCTTACTTGTATGGTACAGCCAAGGTATGCTTTTATGTCCAGTCGCAGTTTGCCCCAGAGTGGGCTGGTGGAAGGGAGAACCATCCTGGAAACGAGCAACAGTTGGGTTTAGCTTTAGAAAACCCACCAAAATAAATCAGATTTCAGCAGCCAAACGAGCAGTGAGTTCAATTCCTTGATACTGCCAATGAGTAACAACTGCTTGCAAAGCACGAACTGAGAGAAGTAAAAATTATGTCACGGGTGAAAAGAAATACTTCTACTCCGTAAAAACTGCCTGGAGCACGGCAGTAGAAAGTTCAACTCAAAGAACTTCCAAGCTTTCTCTGATCCTGCAGTTCCCAAATCCCCTCACACTTACTTTGCTTTCTTCTTTGGGGCCCTGGGAAGCAGCAGCTCCTGCAGGTAGTGGAAGACGTCCCGGATACAGAAGGACACAAGGGCATTGAACACTGGTTAAAACAAAACCACTTGTAAATGATTTTCCACATATTCCTGGTTTCTCAGCTAGTGTGGAAAGAGCTCCCCAAGGAACTGAAGCAGTAATTTCTATAGCAGAACTGCTGTGTTTCCTCAAGCTCCAAGAAAACACCAGTTTGCCTTACCCTAGAATTTTTTTTATCTGAAGAATAAGATCACAACTCACAGCTTTTGGCACAGGGGCCCTTCTCCAAGCAAAAAGCACCAAGCACTGGGAGACCAGAAAAGATCCCACTGCACAGACTCACCACCAGGAAGATAAGCTACTTAAGTGAAATGAAGCCTGTGAAAGGGTAAGTTAACTCCTGCCAGTGCTTATCTCCACTCTCTTCCAAGAGCTAAACTGCCCTACAAAAATCATTTCCCTTCCCTCACAGAAGTGCACTGAACAACTTACCTGCAGTATCAGTCACTTGGAACTTGCTGGGATCACCCTCACTGTCTCCTTTGGTGGTTGCTACAGCTGCTTTATAGGCTTGAGTGATTTCATGGAAGAGCCTTGGTGTCAGATTTCTCTGGGGAAAGAAGGAAAAGGATTGTGAGGAGAAAAAAGCAACAGATCTGAAACTCTGAAGCACTTGAGTACTGAAATTCATTGTAAGTTTGATGGCAGAAATAGCTCTGATATCAAGGATAAAGGTCAGGACAGTGTTAATAAACACTAGTGGCCTTCACCTCCTCTAAAATTGGCTTTTAATTGGCTGGGGGTTGAGAAGCAATCAATCAGCTGCAAGTAATTATCCAATTGTGATCTTCCCTCCCCCTAGTCAGAAGGACAAGCCATTTCACTGCTACTCAAAACCTGACCACAAAAGCTCTTGGAGCCTCCAAATGCACAAGGCAAGAGGGTGAAAAATCAGAATTTTATCATTTTGGCCTCTTCTGAGCCACACGTTTCTCCAGGTTCTCCCTCAGATGGACTTCGAGCACTCCAACCTTGCAGTAAAAGAAAAAAATTGCACTGGAAAGTCATGGTGAAAAATAAGAGCTCTGGCAGCACGAGGCATAAATCTACTCTGTAGGTTTTTGTGCCTGTAAAAGATCAACTTTGTGATTTGTTAATAACATATGTGGAACTGTGTTTAAAGGAGGACACTCAAGAGCTTTGTAGTCCAACTCCCCTGCTCACCTGTGCAGCTTTTTTCCAGTTTTCAACCATTTTCAGGCTCACAGTGATGAAAGAAACTCTCTTCTTTTTGACTTTTTCTTGTTCTTCCTCTTCTTCATCATCTTCATCACTTGCTTCCTAGAGAAGTCATAGCAAGACTGAGAAAAGGTTTCTACACTTCTGGTCCCACCTCTTTTGCTGAGCAGCTGCTGAAGAGGAAGGCAGCCCTGATTTTATCAATGCTGTTATCAGTAGTTTGTGTAAGGAAAAAATGAAATTAGAGGTATTAAAAATTTAAAAAAAAAAAAGCTCCTGAAGCTGTGCAGTTTTGCTACATAAATACAGCGTCTGATAATGTAAAACGTCAAGGAGAAAACACATCACTTGAGGCAAAATTATTACTGGAAAAGATGACATAAAAACAAACAAAAAAATACCCTAGAAAGAAAAGCATTCACTAAAAAGAAAATACACTCTAAGGCTCTGCTTTGACAATCTTTAACAAACTTCTCGTGCTCAGTTCAAACCTCCAGCTGATTTCTGGATTACAACCTGTGAAACTTCACATGAAAGTAATTGAATTAATTGATTCCAGCACTCCAAAACATGCCCTGGTACCTCCAGTGTATCAGGGGGTCTGTGCAGTGGCTCCTCCTCATCAGAACTGTCGGAGGCATCAAAATCCAGCAACGTGCGATCGTTTTCCTCCAAAAACTTGTAGAACTCAGGATCTCTGTCCTTCAGCCTGGAGAGCTGATCCTTGTGTTCAGATGCCTTTCCTTTCTTCCTGGGGGATAAGGATTAACATTGATTAGCATTTATTCACCGCTCAGACTTTATTGATGTATATTTATTAACTTTATTCGCTGTAAGGAAAACAAGCAGCCCGTGGTCACTGAGGCACAGCTGGGGCTGATTTCAGTGGTGATGATTTATCAGGGCTGCGGCCACAGTTCTATGCCTTGTTTAACACCTGGAGGACCTTGCAAAAGGTTCTTCTTATTAAGCATTTAGAAATCTTGATAGCGAGACATCAGGCTGTATCTGGATAGTGACATGAAAACACCTTGAAAAGCCAAAACAAATATGTTTCTCAGTTTCTCAGAATTACTCTCAGGAGCTTTTGTAAAGAACACTGAAAGCTGTACCACCAGAAAAACCTGATAATGAAAGCTCAGTAAAATTTGTTACACTCGAGAATTTTTGTTACACTCAAGAATTTGTTTTCTAATAACAATTATCAGTGCCTAAGGACTACTTCATTTTCTATCTTGCAGATGGTTCAGTCTCTCTCAGTGAAAACACATACACACAAACTGAGGAAAACCAAGGCAAGTTTTCCCTGATTCCAATTATAACCTGTAAAAGACTAAAAGCACCCAGGACCCTTTCTCCACTGCAGTTACTGACCTGACACAGGCACAATAAAAAACCCCAACTGTCCTGTACCCTGTGATCTCACTGAGGTGTTGAACAGCACCCTTTCAGACAACTCTGACCCAACTGATAATGAAACTATAGCATCTATTGCAGAGGCTCCAACGAATCCAACCATTTAGGTTGGAAAAGCCCTCCCAGCCCATGGAGCCCATCCTGTGCTCCATCCCCACCCTGTCCCCCAGCCCAGAGCACTCAGTGCCACGGCCAATCCTTCCCTGGACACCTTCAGGGATGGGGACTCCACCACCTCCCTGGGCAGCCCCTGACAATGCCTGACCACCCTTTCCAGCAGAAAACCCCTCCTGATGTCCAACCTGACCCTCCCCTGGCACAGCCTGGGGTCGTTTCCTTTTGTCCTGTCCCTTGTTCCCTGGGAGCAGAGCCCGACCCCCCCCGGCTCCCCCCTCCTGTCAGGGAGTTGCAGAGAGCGAGAAGGTCCCCCCTGAGCCTCCTTTTCTCCAGGCTGAGCCCCCCCAGCTCCCTCACGGTGCATCCCCATCCCTCACCTGCCCGGCTGCGCCTGCGGCTCCTTCCCCTCCTTCCCGCTCGGCCTCCGCCGCCTCGCAACCTCCTTGGCGGGCTTCTCCTCCTCCTCCTCCTCCCAGCCGCCGTCAGGCTCCGACTCCGAGTCGGCAGCGAGGACCTCGTCCAGGCTCAGCTCCGCCAGGCTCCTGGGGGGGGGGGGGGAAAGAGAGAGGGGTGCGTGTGAGGGCGAGCTCAGCGTGGGGGCGGGCGAGCCCTCTCACCGCGGGCCGAGGAGCCGTTCCCCGGAGGTACCCCCGGTACGGCCCACCCGCCCTGGGCCGCCCTCAGGCCGGGTCAGGTCCGTGCCGGTGCCTCCCTCACCTCCTGCCGGGGGCCGCCATCGCCGCCTCCGCCACGCGGCCGCCACTTCCGCTCCCGGCGTGCCGCGCGCGCAGGCCACGCCCACTACACGCAAACCACGCCCCGTTACTGCCTTAACCGCGCCCCCTCCCGCCTTGGCTCCGCCCCCTCCCCGCCGATCCCGCCCGTTCCCGGCCTGGATCGGGAATATCGTGTCCGGCTGGACCAGGAAAGCGGTTTTTCCTCTGTGCTGGGCGCACACCTCGAGTGCTCTGCCCAGTTCTGGGCCCCCTCAGTTCAATGAGGGGCTGGAGCGTGTCCAGAGACGGGAAGGGTCTGGAGCACCAGGAGCGGCTGAGGGAGCTGGGGGGACTCAGCCTGGAGAAGAGGAGGCTCAAGGAGGACCTTTTCGCTCTCTGCAACTCCCTGACAGGAGGGGGGAGCCGGGGGGGGTCGGGCTCTGCTCCCGGGGAACAAGGGACAGGACAAAAGGAAACGGCCTCAAGCTGTGCCAGGGGAGGGTCAGGTTGGACATCAGGAGGGATTTCCTGCTGGAAACGGTGGTCAGGCCTTGTCAGGGGCTGCCCAGGGAGGTAGTGGAGTCCCCATCCCTGGAGGTGTCCAGGAAAGGACTGGCCGTGGCACTGAGTGCTCTGGGCTGGGGGACAAGGCGGTGATGATCGGGCACAGGGTGGACTCGATGATTCTGGAGGTTTTATCCAAACTCAAGGATTTTATGACTCCCCGTCCAGGCCACGCCCCTCAACCATTCACCCCGCCCCCTCCCGTGGCTCACAACCACAGGGGCGGGGTCTTCACGCTTAGCCACGCCCCATTTTCGACTAGACCACGCCCATCCCGCGCATAGCCACGCCCCTCCGCTGTTGGCCCCGCCCCTCGCCCCCCGGTCCGCGGGGCCGCAGCGGGGCCAGTGCCGCTCGCTCCGGACCCCCGGACCCGACACGGACACACGTGCGGGGCCGGGCCGGGCCGCGGGGTTATTCCGGGTGACGGAGGAAGCCGCAGCCGCGGGGGCCGCCCCGGCTCGAGGAGGAGCCGCCGCTGCCGCCGCGCACCTGCCCGCCCCCGGCCCGCCCCGTCTCTGCCCGCCGCGGGGCCGGCGGTAGCGGTGCGGGTGTTAGCGGCGCCCCGCAGCATCCCCCGGGCTGGGCCGTGGCTGCAGCGGAGCCGTGAGTACCGCCGAGGCACGGCCCTGCCGCCACCTCCTCTTCCTCTCCCTCTTCTTGTCCCTCTCTCTCTTCCTCTTCCTCTCCTTCTCCTTTTTCCTCTCCCTCCCCCTTTCCTTCTTCTCCCTCTCCCTCTCCTTCCCTTTCTCACTCTTCTTCTTCCTTCTCCTCTCTCTCTCCTTCTCCCTCTCGCTCTGCTCTCTCTTCCTCTCCCTCTGCCTTTCCTTCTCCCTGTCCTCCTTCTCCCTCTTCCTCACCTTCTCCCTCTTTTTCTTTCCTTCCCTTTCCTTCTCCCTTTCTCTCTCCCTCTCCTTCTCCCTCTCCTTCTCCCTCTCCTTCTCCCTCTCCTTCTCCCTCTCCTTTTCTCTCTTCCTTTCATTCCTCCTTTTCTTCTTCCTTTCCCTCTCATTTCTCTCTCCTCCTTCCTTCTCCTCTCCCTCTTCCCCTCCCTCTCCCCGGCAGGGCCAGGGGACCCGGACCCCGCGGGAGGAGAGGCAGCCGGAGGGGTTATGGGGTGTGGGGCAAACCGGAGGGGGTACCGGGGGTGGGGGGACAGGCAGCAGGGGAGACCCCCGAGAGGAGCTCCCCCCTCCTCCGCTGCTCCTGCGCATCCCTCCTGGGAAGGCAAGTTTGCTTTCGGGGTCTGGGGGAGACCTTTTCCAAAGGTTTGGTACAACCGGTGCCGCTTCCAAAACATTTCCAAAGGTTTGGAACAGCCGATGCCGTCTCCAGCCTCTGCACCGCGGCATCCCCGTGGCCGAGGCCGGCAGCATCCCTGTGCTGAGCGTGCCCTCCTTTCCCTGTCCTCTGCCAAGTCCTGGAGAGATCCCGTTGGTAAAGGGAAAAGCCGCAGCTCTGGAGCCCGGGGAGCAGCCGCAGAGAGGGGTCTGGCCTGGCCGTGGTGTTCCTTGCCCTCGGTGGAAGCACACGGGTATCACTGTTTTGTTGGTGATGGGGGAGCTGAAGGACACGGGGAGAAATGTTGCCTCGGGTTTTCTGGAAACTTGGGAGTGGGGAAGGGGGGGGGGGGAAGTGGGACACAGCTTTTTTGTGGCCTCTGCAGTGACTGTCAGGGCAGAGGGCTCTCCTTGAGCTACAGCATCGCTGCTGCTGCTGCTGGAGCCGGTCCTGGGAGCAGCAGGCCAGGCAGGCAGCTGGTTTGGTACTGCTGGCTGAGCAAATGCCTCCCTCTCCAGGGAGTGACAGCCCTGTGACCTCGGCTTCCCCAGGGCAAGGAAGGGTGTCAGTCCCTGCTCTGTGTGTCAGTCCCTGCTCTGTGTGTCAGTCCCTGCTCTGTGTGTCTGTCCCTGCTCTGGCCACTGACCAGGCTTTGTGCCAGGCTCAGACTGCAGAAGCAGTGGCCTTGCTTTGATGGGGTCTCTGCACAGGGAGACAGCTCTCCTTTGGCCTCAATGCTTGCTATGCCATAGCACTGTTTTGGAGGTCTCTCCATTGCTGGAGACCACCAGGAGGGAGCTTAGTTCTGGAGTGATTCAGCAACATGTGGATATTTGGGTGCTTTTGATCCCAGCACTCTGGCCTTTTGCACCAGGAGATGCTGCTCTGTTACAGGTTTGCTGTTTTGGGGCTCACTAACACTTCAGAGTGCAATGGCCTTTTGGTTATGGTCCCTACAGCTAAACAAACATCTCTGTGGAATCTCCTCCCTCTGCACCCCAAGTTTCTCTCCCAACCCATGAACATCTGCTGGAAATCCTTTATTCAGCATAGCAGTGAGTAAGACTCAGAGATGTTGGATGTAGAGATCTGAGTTTCCTTCCTGAGCACTGACTGATTAATGAATCACAGCAAATAGCATCTAATTCAGAGCACACCAGGAGCTGGCAGGCGTAACAGGCACCTGCTCTCTTGGCTTGATAGCCCAGGATCCAAATGGAGTTGCTCCATAGCATCTTGGGTAGCAGGGATGGTCCCTGATGCTTCCTGTCAGTTGAGGTCAGCTTGGTGGGGGTGGTAGTGGAGTGTCTTTGTTCTGCCAGAAAAGACAGTGGCCATCTGCCCTTGCTCCCTCAGCATCAGTCCAGGTCTCTGTAGATGGAGTGGCACATGGAAATCAAGGCAGGAGTGCTCTGAAGGCTGGAGAACTGCTGGGGAGATGGTTCCAGGCTTGTTTTGCTGCATTTCAGGCTCAGCAGCTTAAAAAAATACTGAAGTCCCAGTGCTTCTGGATTTCCTCAGGTGCTGGAGCCCTGCCTCCAAACCCTTAGGCAAGATGGGCTTGGGAGGCTTGAGAGGCTTCATCCTTTCTGTCTGGCCTGCTGGAACTGGCTGCAAACCTTCTCTAAAGGATGTGACTCCTCAGGGGCAGGAATTCGAGCTCCTTCAGCTGAAATTCCCAGGGCCTTGGCAGGCCCCCAGTTGTACCAGCGAGCTCAAGGCCATTATGTCACATGCTCCTCATAGCTCAGTTTTCGTGTATGTGGCCCGTGCTGTTGCCTGCCAGAAGATGTGAGGGAATTCTCTTGTTTTCTGGCTTGAAAACAGGCTCCCACTGCTCCACAGTGTGAAGCTCAGAGCTGGTTCAGAGGAGGAAGATGTGGATCTGGTCTGGTACGTCTATGCTGCCAGCCCACACTACAACAGAGGCTGGCAGGAGGCTTTGTAAACCCTCCAGGAACGTGGTGTGGGTCCTGTGGAAGGGGTGAGCCGGGGTGCAGGTGGTGACCTCCTGGTCTGGAGAGTCACTCCTGGGCAGCACTTGCCAGCAGAATTATTCCGTGTCTTGTCCCTCTGGTAGAAGATCTGCTTGCTTGTTTGCAGCCAGCAGATCCAGGTGCTTTTTCCTCCTTTCCTTGCTTCTGGAGCCACGAGGCCACGCTGCCCCGTGTCATGGAGTCAACCTTCCCTTTAGGAGCCAGGTGGTGTCTCCTGCTGGGTCTCCCCAAATCCATCACTGTTGTCTGACACCAGGGCACTGCTGAGCATGAGTGACCTGCTCTGAACTGCCCCACCTTCTCGAGCCACCATCACCTTGCACAGCAGACAGGTAAAGGGCACAATCCCTCTTTAAACAGCTGCTGGCCAAGGATGTTGCAGAGGGAGATCCTGGGCAAGTCTAGGAGCCAGGAATATGGAGGTGCTCGGATACAGGCTGCCTCCAGTGACCTGAGTGCTCTCATCTTGTGTTTACCTGTCTGAAAAATCATCTGGGGACAGAGATGTCTGTCACAGGGAAGGGCAGAGGGATGGCAGGAATACCACAGTGCTGGGCAGTGCAGCTGAAGCTGGTGATTATCACTGCTGCCTGGAGAGGGGACTTGCTTTATGCCCGTGTGTGGAGGTTTGGCACTGCTGGTGCCAAAAAATAGCTCTGGATGCGACAGTAGCTCCTCTCCCGTGCCTGCTGGGGGACACTGGGAAGGGGGAATTAGGACACGACACACATTTCCAGTCCTTGAGAGAGTCAAAGAGCTCATTTCACTTAGGCCTTGGTGTGCTTTGGGCTGGACTGTAGGAACTCCTGTGTAACCCCAGTGCAGCTGGAGAACTGCACGTTTTGCTGAGCATCTCAAGGCATGAATCCGTTTCCATTTCTTGTTCCTCCCTAATCTGGGAATTCAGCAGTCCCAAACCTATTCGAGTCCTGACCCTCACAGCCAATTACTTCAAAATGACCCAAACCTTAGCACAGATGCCTCTAAATCCCTCAACCGTGGAGTCCTGCTTGGAGCAGCAAAATAAGGAAGGAGAAAGCTGAATTTGAAGATGTCTGCAGGAAAAGCTGCTGCCTGTGGGAAGTGAGAGAGAAGGCTGTGTACTCAGGTGGGCACCAAGCAGGCTGGATGCCCTTCATCTCTCTCAGGTATGAGAACGTCCCAGTGCATTGAGGCTCCCTCCTCTCACAGCTGAAGCACTTCTGAGCATGAGCTGAGGTGACTTGAGAGCAACTTCGAGCTGAGCTTCCAAACAAAGCTCCCCAGGAGTATTGGGGAGCGAAGCTTTAATTAGGAAAGACCTCCAGCCTTCTGTGTGCACCAGGGGCCGATTGATTACAACCCAGTGAGTTGCTGAAAGACACTGCCGAGGTCAGTGTGCTGAATGCCCTTCTTGCCTGGAGCCAGCACTGTCTCTGTGCTGTAGAGCTGGCAACTGTGTGCAGCTTTTCCCCGTCCTCCCCACCCCCTTTGCCGAGGCTCCACATCCTCTCTGGCAGCTTGTCACTTCTCTGCAGATGTCTAGACAGGAGGATTCAGTGCGTGTCAGTTATGCCTAATTCATTAAAAAAAAAAAAAAAAACCCACACCACCAAACCCTACTGAGAGCTGGGGATTCTCAGTCCTGCAGACTCAGCGCTGTCTGCGGTGCCCCGGTGCTGCCTTCAGGCTGGCTCAGAGCAGATTAATTCCATGGATCCGCAGGAGCAGCGAGTGCCTCGGCTCCCACCCGCAGCGGGGGGGGCTTGGGGAAGGGCTGGCAGGGCTGGCAGGGGGAACAGCAGAGAGGAGAGGAGGTGGGGAGAGGGGTTTGGGGCTGGGTGCGTGCTCCTCCTCGCTCCTCGCCCCACTTGTGTGTTCTCAGCTCCGTCAGGAGATGCCAGAGGGCTCCAAGGTGTCCAAGCCCTCAGTCTGGGCTGAAATCACCAGCTTCCCAGTTCTGGTGTCCCTCCTGAAGGCAGAGCTGGTGCCAGGAATGACAGCTCCCTTTGCCATGTTATGTCACTCTTCCCATCAGCGTTTTCAGCCCTCACCCCTGTCCAAGGTGCAGCTGTAAATCAGCCCTTGCAGGACCTGCAGTTCAGAGCATCTCGTTCCCTGGTCCTGAACCAGCTTCCTCCCTCTGCTTCCTTCCAGTTGCTGACTCTTCCAGACTGAACAGGCAATGAACCTTGTATTAAAAAGGCTGAATGTGAGCTGCTGCACACTGTCAGTGTCTGCCTGAATTCCCTGGATCCAGGCAAAGCCTTACAGGGGCTGAGGAGGGACTGAACCCCAAAGCATTGTAGTGAGCAGTTTTTTCTATCTGTGTCAGTGACACTAATGTGACATGTCCTGGTGGGGACAACTGCCTGGATTTAGTGCCTGCTTTGCATCTGAGTCCTGGGCATATACAACTGGATGACTCCCAATCCTCTTTGCTTGTGTTTATCGTGGCGAAGGGAGCGGGAAAGGTAGGAAAGCAATATATTTTGTAATAGGCAGTTCCAGGCCCTCTGAAACAAGGAAGAATTTGGGATATCCAGGCTTTAGGTGTATATCTGCTGTAGCCTGTGAAAACAGCCCTGGCATCTGATTATTGATGCAAAAATGCTGCTAATGTCTGCTTCTGCTTAGTGGGCTTCAGAGCCATGGAAGGGTTCCACAAAAGGGTCAGCTCAGCCAAATTTGAGGTCTCCACAAAGCCATAAGGAAGGTGAAATGTGCAGTGAGCTCAGCTGCATCTCTGGATGCTGGCACGAGCTCTGTTAATGGTCTTACAGCACAACAGCCTCTGTTGTTACTGCCAGCTCAGCTGTTTGTGTCCCTTGGCTGTGGAAGGGAAGGAAGAGTCTGCAGGAACACAGGAGCACATCGTGTCTTCCCAGCCCTGCTCCCAGGAGGGAAGTTGTGCCCGCCCCCACAGCTGGGCAGGGCTTTGCCTGTGCCCCCTTGGGCTGCCCCAGTCTGCTCCTGCCTTTGATGGTGTTGCACGTTTCAGTTCTTTGGGGAATGCTGGACTGGAAAATGGGCTGTGAATCCTCTCAGAGGGGGTTAAAAAGGAGAATTCTGATTTCTGGTGCAGGGGAGATGGAGATGCACTTGGAAGGAGTGATTCCAGCTTGTGACTCCACTGTGATCCCCTCCTTCCCCAGGGATCCGTGCTGTTGCTCCACCCCTGGGTGAGTTCTGTGCTGTTGTGGGGGCACTGCTTTGGCTCCAGCACTGGGAGTGGAGATCTGAAGCTGCTGGGCACAACAGAGTAGCACTGCCAGCAGCCCCTGCCTGCCTAGGGCTGAACCAGTAGAGGTCTGCAGGCAAAAACAGGGAGTCTGTGCCTGGGGAATGGACCTCCAGTGCCCAGGAATGGGGGGGGGACCACTCCCCTAAAAGGGAAACTGGTCTGTGCTGCCCTGTTAATGCTGTGACACACTGGGGTCGAGGTGAGTGCCAAGCAAGGGCTCCATGGCTTTTCCACAGGTCCAATGGCAGCAGTTCTGTGGGAGATGCAATGATGTGCACACAAAACAGGGCTTTGTGACTGGCTTACTGGGATATCAACACAGGGACAGGGCACATGTGGAGGTGATGGATTTAAGGATGATTGTGTGTCAGGCCTCAGGGCATGGCATGCCTTGGAGTAGGGGATGTCCTCTCATCCCCAGCAAAGCCTCATCCCCAACATCTGACCAGCTGCACAGGATGTGTCCTCGTGGTCTCCAAGCTCGCCTGCCAGACACAAAATCCCCATCCAGGCTGTCAACAAAAAAGCCATTCTCCAGGGCCTTCCTGGGGAAAGGGCAGGCTCGGAACTCCTCCCTGGAGGATACTCTGTTCCCTGTTTATTGTTCAGCACACTTCTTTTCACTCCCAGCAAAATATGGGTTTTTTGTGCAGAGAGAACAGGCCTCCCTTTGGGGGCAGGGATCATTTGCATTAATTAACAGAGCTGTTATGCATGGCCACGCTCTGTCGCATGGAAGCCAAACAAACGCCTTCTTTTTTATTCCTTTTTCCCCCCCCCCCCCACTTTTTTTTTGCCATAACCTCGGAGTTATTACAAGTCAGGCACCGCATCCGCTCCGGCCGACGCGTGACACGTGCATTCCTGCTGCTGTGTGCTCCACAAAAGTGGGCTTGTGTTTCCTTTCCCCCTCTGGAGCTCTGGACACTGCTTCACTGTCTCCCGTGGTCCAGGCACTGTTCCCCATTAATTACATCTTAGCAGCGCTCGTAGGCCTTCATTTCCTGGGAATGAAGTTTTAACAAGGAAATCAGGAATATTTAGTGCTGCCAGCGAGGTGGAGGGTTCAGCACTGGGAGCAGCATGAGCAGCAGTGAGGTGTTCCTTTCTGTTCCTTTCTGTTCCTTTCTGTTCCTTTCCTTTCTCCCCACTGGTTATATATTCTGATCCATTAAAGCAAAAGAGCTCTGTTGGGAACAAGTTATTGAGGAGCAGAGGGGATGGTGGGAAGTAGGACTGAAGGCGTTGTACCCACTTCAAACCTTCAACCAGCCCCATGCCAGGGCTTCAGGAGGGTGACCATGTCCCAAAGGGGCTGGTGGGTGGGTGAGTGGCTCTTCAGAGCTGGATTGCTGAGGCTGTGGTGTGGCTGTAGCCAAAAAGCCATCAAGCAGAGCTGGTTCAGGCTGCCTGTGGGACTGTCCCCTGGCTGTGGGGATGCTCGTGGAGCCCAGTGGCAGTAGGATGGCATCTCCCTCTGGCCCTGCTCCCTGCTTGGTCGCATCAGAGACCAGGTGACACAGAGGGGACATAGCTCAGGGTGGCCCCTCACCGGTGACAGCAGGCAGGTGTGCCTGGAGAGGGGACTGAGCAATCACTGCTCTCCTGGCCACGAGAATCATTGCAAGGAAAGATAATGTCACCCCTTGTCATCCTGCATTTGTACTTGCCCAGAGTCATGCAGTGACTCAGTGGCAGGGCTGGGAAGGGAGCCCAGTGCTTCCGACTCTTTGGAATCGTGTTTGATTCCTGCCGTGCCAGTGCGTCGGCCGCAGCCACCCTCAGCCTGCTGTGCCCTCTCTGTCCCTCCTCTGACCGCTGAGGCCCAGTTCTGTGCTCCTCCAGGGTGGCTAACCTTCCCTGAGAAGTCTCCCAGAGCGCAAGGAGAAGAAATCCCATCTTTTCCCAGCTCCTCTGCCCTGTCCTGCGTTGTCCCCCTGCTGCTGAGGAGCTGGGAGCTCCCGTCCCTCACTCCCAGCACCCAGGAGGGATGAGGCGAGTGCTTTAGAGCTGGAACATGACTTAAATACTGATGGGGATGAGTATGCTCAGCAGTGTGTTACACAGAGAAACCAGCTCAAGCAGATGAGGAAAACCCTTGCAGCTAGGGATGGGAATAAAGGTGGGAAAGCACCGTCTGCCCTCTGCCCTAAACCTGCTCTAGGAAAGGACCTCTGGAGCCCAGGCAGAGATGTTAATGACTATAAACCTCCTTTGTGCGGGCATCTCTTATGCCCACATGTGAATTAGGAGAGAGAGGGTATCCTGGGGATGCTGCAGCTTTCCCAGGGGTGTGGGAGAAGGCCAGTTACCTCACGGGCCCTTCTTTCCTGTCAAGGGCACCGTGGCATCCTGCTCTCACTACTGGAAAGCATCAACAGGCACTGCCTTTGTTGTGTGCCCCTGAGCCTTCCCCGCTGACAGCGAGATGAGGAATCTCTCGTATCACAGAGGCTGATGCAAATAGAAAAGGGCATCGCAGGCTCCTCTCCGCTCAGGAAACATGTTTATTCATCTTTTTTCCTCCCCCAGACTCTAGTACGTGATACAACTGCTACTTAAAAAAAAAAAAAAAGGAATAGATGGCTGCCTTCGTGGCTGAGCAGGCACAGAGCGGTGGGTTTCTATTTTTAGGCCCAGCACGGCGGGTGTAGGTGTGAGGGGAGGCTGAGGGGATTCTCTCGCCGCAGGGATGCGGGGGCAGGCGCACGCGTGCAGCACACGGCCTTATTTTTTATTCAAGCTGCCTTTTTTCTCCTGCTCCCTCCCCCCTCCTTCCTCCTGCTGCTCAGTCATTCCCTCCTCACTCCCCCACCTTTTGGGTGATGCTGGCACGGAGACAGTCAAACGCCTTTGGAAACAGCGGGAGCAGCCTGGATGGAAACAGCGTGGGGAGGAAACGTCTCAGCACAAATAAAATGCCCTTGTTCCCTGATTAGGCAATTTTTGTTTTTATAGAGTCATTGAATCACAGAATGGCCTGGGTTGGAAGGGACCTTAAAGATCAACCAGTTCCGACCCCCTGCCATGGGCAGGGACACCTTCCACTAGACCAGGTTGCTCCAAGCCCTGTCCAGCCTGGCCTTGGGCACTTCCAGGGATCCAGGGGCAGCCACAGCTTCTCTGGGCAACCTGTGCCAGGGCCTCACCACCCTCACAGGGCAGAATTTCTCCCCAGTATCCCATCTAGCCCTGCCCTCTGTCAGTGTGAAGCCATTCCCCCTTTTCCTGTCACTCCATGCTCTTGAAGAAGTCCCTCTCCATCTTTCTTGCAGGTTCCCTTCAGGTACTGGATGGCCACAAATCAGTCACCCTGAAGCCTTCTCTTTTCTCTCCTTCCTTGCTTGAAATTCTAACACAGGCAAGGGGATCCCTGGAGCTCCAACCCCCTCACGGGGAAGAATTTTTTCCTAATCTCAGACCTGAATTTCCTTCTTTCAGTTTGAACCCAAATGAGCAGGACGACATTTCCCTCGCAGGGGCTGGTTCGAGCTGTTGTTGCACAGGATCTCTGAGCAGTGCTGAGGGTTGTCTGGGGCTAGAGCTGTTCCTGCCTGGCTAATACTTTATTTTTCCCCCCATGCCAGAGCCGGTGAGAAGGGGAAAACCCCCCAGCTCCCTCCTGCAGCCATGGAAGGGGGTGTGCAGCTCCTCAACCGCGACGGGCACAGCATCTCCCACAACTCCAAGCGCCACTATCACGATGCCTTCGTGTGCATGAACCGCATGAGGCAGCGGGGGCTGCTCTGCGACATCGTGCTCCATGTGGGCACCAAGGAGATCAAGGCCCACAAGGTGGTGCTGGCGTCGTGCAGCCCGTACTTCCACGCCATGTTCACAAGCAAGTAGAGAGTCCTCCCTTCCCCCGTGGACAGGCTCTCCCTGCCCTCCAAACCCTTTACCAACCCCTCCGCTTTCTACCCTGTTCCCTGTTCTCGCTGCCCTGCCCTGTGGAACTGTGGTGCCAGTGTGTCATTTCAGTGAGGAAGTGCAGTAATATTCCTCCTTTGACTCCCTACCCTGAATCCCTGTGCCCATAACCCCTGCAGGGGTGTCTTGATGCCCCTCCTGTAGACCTGGACCCCCTTCCCTAGAGCACACTGCTGCTCCTCCTTGCTAAGAGAGGGGCAGAAGACCCTCCTGGGCTGTGATGTGGAGGTGGATGAGTCTTGGTTAGACCCTCCTGTGGGGAAACAAGTCCTGCTGAGGGATTTTTGCTCATTGTTGTGTCTGTGTTGCCCCAGATGAGATGAGTGAGAGCCGCCAGACCCACGTGACGCTGCACGACATCGACCCCCAGGCCCTGGAGCAGCTGGTGCAATACGCCTACACCGCCGAGATCGTGGTGGGAGAGGGGAATGTGCAGGTAGGAGCTTCCACCCCAAAATCCCTCCCTTCCACAAAGCTGTTCTGTATGAAACTTGCCTCCTGGGGACTCTTCTCTCCTTCTGCTCAGCACTGCCAGCTGTTTTTTCCGTGAAGGCAGCTGGATCTAGCAGTGGTCAGGGAGTTCACCTGCTTCCCCGTGCCCAGAGGGGCTGGGAATGGCTCCTCAAAGAACTGTGCAATGCCCAGATCTATTCCTGAGCACCTGCCATTCTCCTGGCCCTGTGGGGTGTCACTGGTGTCCTTCTCAGCTGTTCTTTACCTTAGTTCTCTTGGAAACAAGGAATGCTCTGTCCTTCCCTGCGCTTGTGTGCCTGAAGGCGCTCAGTAAACCTGTTCTGCTCGTGGCTTGCAGTGAGATGAGGGTGGAAACGGTTTCCTTGCCCTGGAAACTCTCTTTTCCCCCGTTCTTTCCTACTGCCAGACACTTCTTCCTGCTGCCAGCCTGCTTCAGCTCAATGGTGTGCGGGATGCTTGCTGCAAGTTCCTGCTCAGCCAGCTCGACCCATCCAACTGCCTGGGGATCCGGGGCTTTGCTGACACCCACTCCTGCAGTGACCTCCTCAAGTCTGCTCACAAGTACGTCCTCCAACACTTCGTGGAGGTGTCCAAGACAGAGGAGTTCATGCTGCTGCCTCTTAAACAGGTGAGGCCCCTGATGGGAGTGTGAAGGTGTGGGTGCAGCAAAGCTTCTCGTGCTCTGTCCTGGAAGGCACAGCCTGTGTGTCAAAAGCCCAAGGAACCTGCACTGAGGGGACAGGGTTTGGCAAGGGAACATACCCAGATTCTGTGCTTTGATCCTCTCTGTTCAATGGAGAATATGTGCTTTAGTCCTCTCTGTGCAATGTGTGGGAAGATTGCTGTCAGAGAACTTAATCCCATGGGAATTAAGGATGGGAGGGTAGGACAGAGGATAATTTTGGTCACTGGTGCTTGCCATGTGAGCTCTGAGCACACAGTCCAAGGAATAAGTCCTGCCTGCCCTGGTCACGTAGCTGTGATGTTTAATTCAGAGCTCAGCTAATGTTTCCTGCTGTTCATCGTGTGCCAGGATGGCCCCTGGCTCCTCTGCTGTGCCCTGGCCAGGAGGCACTCCCGGTCCTTGCTCTGCATCACCTGACCCTGTGTGGCCCCTCAGCAGGACCCAGACACCTCCTTTCACCCCTTCTTGGGGCAGGGCGTGCGTGGCAGTGAGGGGAGGTGCATATCTCCACCTGCTCTGGCTCCATAGTCCTTGGCAAGTGAAATGAGTGCTCTGGGACCAGCCAGGGCACGCGGGTCTGTCCCATGAAATATTGAAGGGGCCTGTGCGAGCAGAGTCGTCTGCCTGCTCTCACTGATGTTGATTGGAAGTGTCAGGAATTGCAGCAGCTTCAGCCACAGAAGGGGGGGATGAGCTGGGGGATGATGACTGAGGGCAGAGCTGTCTCCACACCAGCTGCACCTGCTGGTTTGGGGGACCCAGGGCTGTGCACCCTTCAACCACCAGCATCTACAGGAGGCAGGGCTCTGCCTCTGGCAATGCAGTTCCTTGGAGGTGTGAATGTCTCCTCCCCGTCCATACCAACCAACACTGCCCCTTCCATTCCGCCCTGCAGGTGCTGGACCTCATTTCTAGTGACAGCCTCAATGTGCCATCGGAGGAGGAGGTGTACAGGGCTGTGCTCAGCTGGGTCAAACATGATGTGGACAGCAGGAGACAGCACGTCCCCAGGGTGAGTGTGTGCTGGGAAGATGGCCTGGATCTACCCACCAGCTCTGAGTGCCTGGGCTGGGTTGGGACACAGCTGGAGGGACAGTAGGTCCCATCATACCATTTCCAGTCCAGATTGGAAGGGACCTTAAATCTCCTCTCATTCTACCCCACTGCCATGGCCAGGGACACCTTCCACTAGACCAGGTTGCTCCAACCTGGCCTTGGACACTTCCAGGGATGGGGCAGCCACAGCTTTTCTGGGCAACCTGTGCCAAAGCCTCACCACCCTCACAGAGAAGAATTTCTCCCTAATATCCAGCCTAAATCTCTCCTCTTCTAGTTTAAACCTGTTCCCCCTTGCCCTATCCCCATCCAAAGGCCTCCTCTCCCCTCGCAGCTCATGAAGTGCGTCCGGCTGCCCCTGCTGAGCCGGGACTTCCTCATGAGCAACGTGGACACGGAGCTGCTGGTGCGGCACCACTCGGAGTGCAAGGACCTGCTGATCGAAGCCCTCAAGTACCACCTCATGCCGGAGCAGAGGGGCGTCCTGAGCAACAGCCGGACGAGGCCGCGGCGCTGCGAGGGGGCCAGCACGGTGCTCTTCTCCGTGGGTAAGGCCCTGCGAAGGCAGCCCCCTCACCCGCATCCCGACCCCGTCCCGGGGCCCCATGGGCCGGGTTTGCTCTGTTTGCCCTCCCTCCCAGGTGGAGGGAGCCTGTTTGCCATCCACGGGGACTGTGAGGCCTACGACACGCGGACGGACCGGTGGCACATGGTGGCCTCCATGTCGACGCGCAGGGCCAGGGTGGGCGTCGCGGCCATTGGGAACAAGCTCTACGCCGTGGGCGGGTAAGGAGGGCGCGGGAGGTGGCAGGGGTGTGAGCAGAGCCTGTGGGGAGAGCAGCACAGAGCTGCCCCGGGAGCAGGGGTGGCCAGCAGAGCCTCCCGGAGCCCACCTCTGGATGAACCATCCGGGATCTGTGGGGTAGCAACTGAAAACCCCTTCCCTGCCCTGTGGTTCGGAGCTGTGAGTTCACCAGCTCTTGTTTTAGTGGTGGCCGTGTCCTGGGCTGGCACAGTTCCACCCCCATTTCTCTCAGAATCACAGAATGGTTTGGGTTGGAAGGAACTTTTAAGGTCATCTTGTTCCAACACCATGCCATGGGCAAGGACACCTTCCACTAGCCCAGGTTGCTCCAAGCCCTGTCCAACCTGGCCTTGGACACTTCCAGGGATGGGGCAGCCACAGCTTCTCTGAGCAGCTTGTTCTCCCTTTTTCTCCCAACAGCTATGATGGGACCTCAGACTTGGCTACAGTGGAGTCCTATGATCCTGTCACCAATTCCTGGCAGCCTGAGGTGTCCATGGGCACCAGGAGGAGCTGCCTGGGTGTAGCAGCACTTCATGGGCTTCTCTATGCTGCTGGGGGGTACGATGGGGCCTCGTGCCTGAACAGGTAGGGGATTGCCTTGCTACAGGCTCCTCCACTGCTCGTGCATGCAATGTCCTTGGTGCTGGGAGCCTGGGAGCCCTGCTCCTGACCCATGGACTGACCCCAGGGTAGATATGTTACAATCCAATGGGGAAAAACCATTTTGTAGCCCTCTGCCACAGCAGGACCCAGCCTTTGTCAGTTCTTCCCTCCTATTTTCCCTGTCTATTCCCAAGCTTCCTTGGGAGCTGCCCCTGAGGGCCTGTGTCAAAGAGCTTTGACCTGGGCTTTTCCAGTGTCACACCTTATGTTCCTGTGTCCCTGCCTGCTGCAGCGCAGAGAGGTACGACCCTCTGACAGGCACCTGGACATCCATCGCTGCCATGAGCACCAGGAGACGCTACGTCCGGGTGGCAACTCTAGGTGGGTGATGGCATGAGGACCTCACGGGCTTCTGTGCAGGCTCTCTTGCATTCCTGGTGGTTCCTTTTCATGTTCTGTCCTAGTTCCTGCCCCCTCTCCCTAGATTCCCTTCGCTGTGAGTCCGGATGGCCCAGCCATCCCTCTGCCATGTCCTGACACGCTGCCTGCCTCTGCCCTCCTCAGTCTCCTGAGTAACTGGGTTTCATCACACTCTGTAGGCAACTCCTGAGGGGACCCACAACTTGTTCCTTTGTACCCCTTCTACTCTGGAGCAAGGGGCTGGCTGTAAATGATCCCCAGTCCCTAGAAAAGGAAGGGACAACCTTGTTAGTCCTTCAGTATGAAAGCAGGACAGTCCTTTTGCTGATGATCCAAGTCCCACTCTCACCCAAACAGGTGCTGGGCCTCCCTGGGGATGCTTCCCACCTTCCCAAGAACTGCCACACGGTGTCCCAGTGTCCCTGTGCCTCTCCCCTGCCCTCTTCTCTGGTTTCAGCTCTCAGTGCTGACTCAGAGCTTCCCTCCCCTCCATCACCAGCTCACACTGCGTCGGCCACAGCCGATACTGGCATTCCCCTGCTCCATCCTCCACCACTAAAAATAGCCCGTTGCTCCAGCAGGGAGCACTTGCAGCTCCTGTAATGAGGAGGTCAAGAAGCAGCAGGCAAAGGAGTTCTCTGGGAAGCTTGGAGCGTGGCAGAGAAACTGCCTGATGAATATTTCACAACACTCCATGCTGGAAGGGGAGGGGAGCTGGGGGAGCCCTGCTGAGAGGAACTTGGCTGCCTGGGGCATGGGAGGCTCAGCTCATACCTGTGTGGGCACCCCTAGGGTGGTACCTGTGGTGTTGTGGGACCTGTGTTGGGACAGGGACCATGTCTTTAGCTAATTCCAGTGCCTGTGTGACTGTCTTTGCAGAAGGCAACCTCTATGCTGTTGGGGGATATGACAGCTCATCCCACTTAGCCACGGTAGAGAAATATGAGCCCCAGGTAAATACAAGAGAGATTTTTATAAACTTTTTCCTTCTCCCCTCCTCTGTGGTGCCTGAAAGGACTTAAGCCACTGTGCATGACTGTAACAAGGAGGGGGTATCAGCCCCTTCCACAGGGACAGAGAATCCGGGGTGTGATCCTGAGCAAAATGAGCCACAGCTGATCCATGCAGGCTCTGAGATACCACTGCGAGATTTCAGCCACCAGAACACTCTCTACCCTGCTGCCTGTAGGTCAGCTTGAGTTCTGTAGGAAGATCAGTCCTGGTACATGCCCTGAGCTGTTTCCAACTTCCAGCTGAGGTCCTGCACTGTGCACATCCAGTGTGGTGAACAGGGAGTGTGGCAGGCTGGGGACATGTGTTGGGCCTGAAGACTCACAGCTCTGCTGGAGCAGGGGAGATTGCTGCAAAAAAATAAGAGAGAAGGTCCTGGAGGTTTTTCGTGAGCTGTGCAGTTGTACTTGCACAGATTTGAAATAGATACAGCTCAACCCCCATGGCCAGGCTGGATTCAGCTGTGACATGACTGGTGGCCTGGCACAGGGATCTCTGTGCCCCTGGGATGGCAGGACTCCTGCCAGCTGCCACAGTGTTTTCCTGAGCCACTCAGCAGAGATTTCTGTGCTGCTCTTACTGTGGCAGAGTGGAAGGGAAAGAAGTGGGTTCCCCCAGAAGTCCTTTGTGGGGGGAGGAGGACCATCATGCCAGGAGCCGTGTGGTTAGAGCAGGACTAATACCACAGGACTGATTCGGCCAGGGATGGGTGGAAAATACCCTGTACACCTGTCTGGTTGAACAACCATTGCCCATTCCCAGATCAACACCTGGACACCCATCGCCAACATGCTGAGCCGCCGGAGCAGCGCGGGGGTGGCCGTGCTGGAGGGGATGCTCTACGTGGCTGGGGGCAACGATGGCACCAGCTGCCTTAACTCTGTGGAGCGCTACAACCCCAAAACCAACACGTGGGAGAGCGTGGCACCCATGAACATCCGCAGGTAAGGAGCTGTGCCCCGCTCTGGTGGCAGCAGGAGCGGGGATCCCGTCTCGCCGTGCCTCGCTTGGCACTGCAAACCATAAAACACAGCCTGTGCCCCCCTCCCAGGGTTTGGCTGATGATCTTGCTGCGCTGAGAGGAGCTGGAGTGTGTGCCAGGAGGGCAGAGCAGGGGTGTTCTGCAGAGGGATTTATTCTCAGCAGTTTGTGTGGCTGTAAAGAACCAGGTGGTTCTGCTGGCTGAGGCCACGGAGATGTTGCTGGGCTGTGGGAGGATTTAAGGCTTGCAAGTCCGAGGATTTCGGGCTCCTAGAGTTTGTTATTTAGAGGTGGCGCTTCTCCAGTGGCATGAGTGTCAGAGTGAACGGGAGGACCTGAGAGTCTTTGCTTGAACTCCAATAGTTCATTTTCTCTGGGCGACTGTGGGGCCGGGCGCTCCTTTTGTGGGGCCGGTTTACCCGAGGTGCTGAGCTCCCCTACACCCCAGAGCCTCACCCCGCTGCGGTCTCTGCGTGGTCGTTGCAGGAGCACCCACGACCTGGTGGCCATGGATGGGTGGCTGTACGCCGTGGGTGGCAACGACGGGAGCTCCAGCCTCAACTCCATCGAGAAGTACAACCCCCGCACCAACAAGTGGGTGGCAGCGTCCTGCATGTTCACCCGCCGGAGCAGCGTGGGGGTGGCCGTGCTGGAACTCCTCAACTTCCCTCCCCCCTCCTCGCCCACCCTCTCGGTGTCTTCGACGAGCCTTTGACAAAGAATCAGGACGTACCTTACCTCAAGGGGACAGGGGTGCCTGGCAGGGCTCTAGGCCAGCCCCGAGGGGCAGCCGGTCGCTGTAGGAGGGGAGCGAAGGTCCTGGTTGGTGCCTGCAGCCCCAGCACTCCTGTGAACCCCGGAGCTGTCCCCGCTCTTGGGGCGCCCATCGGATCAGCGCGACCACAGCAGTTAGAAATGTGCTTCCTGGACGAGCACCCTCGGTCGGAGGGCGACGAGGCGGGTGCTCTCCGCTCCGCTCAGACTCATCCCACCGCCCGCCCCAAGGGCTCATAATCTCCTTTGGGGAGGGGAAACTGTAAACCATTGCTGCTTCTTGGATTCACGGGATCCAGCCGGTGCCACACACGAGCACAGCCAGCCTTGGAGGCTTCCAGGAGCCCCGTGGGGTGGCCGAGGTGGGCAGCGCTCCTGCCAAGGACACGGCGAATGTGCGACCACCGCTCCTCTGAATGTCACTGTAGCCAAACTCTTTACCAAGCCTATCGTGCACTGTTAAAGACTCTGAGGCCACTGTATGGTTCTCAATGGTGTCTCATTGATGCCTTAAAATACACAAACAGAAGAATCCCGGCTAAGGGACAGGGCCTGGAGGAGGTGAGGTTCGGAGGCAGAACTGGACGTAGCATCCTGAACCCTCCAGTGTTTCCATGCTCTGCTGGCCCCCACCTCATCCCCTGAGATCCCAGCTGGCCATTGCTCTGGGGAGTCCCAAGCCAGGCAGATGGGTTGGGTGACCTTGTTGGCATCCATGCCATTGCTGTCCCACGCTCAAAGGACTGGGTGGCTGCCTGCTCTCTGCACGTGGTCCTGGCTCAGACTGGGAAAGGATCGGCCTGTTTGCTGTTCCCCTCTCTGCAAAGCAGATTCTGGGTTTGTGGAGAGCTATCAGTTCTTTAAAAAGAACAGTCGAGCCTTCTAAATGAGGAGGATTGCCTGGCATTACTTCTTTTGGGTATTAATTTTTTGCCTTTTTTTATTTGAATGCTAATATTTTAGTTTTTAATGACTTCATATCCCTTTGTTTTCTATGCTACTCCGGTATTCCCCATCCCATCTGCTTCTAAGGCAGCAGAAGGGATGCAATTACTTTTCTCATTTGTTGAGGAGATGATGCCTGTGTCCTGGAAGACGTTCTCTGTGGATGTGTGGGGTGTGTGCATGTGTGAGATACCAAATGTGCAGCGAAAGCAGCACGGAAGGGACCATTTGCAATTAGCGACTCCCTGGCAATTAAGCAACCCCTTTAATTAACTGAAGGTTGAATAAATTAGTGCTGTAAGTCACAGGCCTATCCTAGACCCACCTGTGCCACGGAGCCTCCGGGGTGGTGTTTTCAGTGCGTGTGCTGTGCGTGTGAGCCGTGAACTGAGGCACAGATCAGGTGTTCTCTGCATTACAGAGGAATGACTCAACCACTGGTACCTCAATAGTGTTCAAATGTAGCACTGGAATACAATCTAACTGTTTGGAACTAATTCCTTTATCCTTTTTTCCCCTGCTCCTTCTCGTTTCTCATTCACAGAGTTCAGATTACACTCGTGGTGGGGATTTGTTGGCCTGAATTTTCAAGTGGCAAGAGATTTCTTCTCTTTTTTTTGAGGGGAGAGTTGGGTGAAAGGAGAGTTTGAAATGAAACAGGGACTCCCCAGCTTAAGACAATTTTTTTTGCGGTCTGATTTCTCCTGGACTGGTGCCTGCATGTTTTGCAAGCCCACTGACACGCTCTACAAGCCCACTCACAGTGCCTCACGCTGGACACCTGAAATTACCAGCAGCTTCTGAAAACCTGAGCTGCTTCCCTCCCCAACCAGTCCCCAGGGGACAGCCTGGTCTTCTCAGGCTGAGGAGGCCTTTTTGGCTTTTAGAACAGACTCTAAATTTGCTTTTTGTCCCCCTCTCACTTGCCCAGCCCGTCACAACTCAGCAGCTCTCCTGTTCCTCTGTACTGCAGAGGGGTCTGTGAACGTCCAGGCTCTGTGCAGGTTGTCTCTTGGTCTGTGTGGGCTGCCCTCAGAAGGTCAGATGAATCTGCTTTGTACAAAAACCCCAATGAAATCAGTGAAGTCTGCTCCATTTAGTGCCCACACCTGAGCGAGGTTCAACCCTTTCCATCCCATTCCTAGAACCAACATCAGGATTTTACTCTTCTGCTGGGCTCGTATCAACTCAAGGTGCCCCTGGCTCCAGGGTCCTCTTGGAAGGAGGATCAGCCCAAAGGCCCCATGGCCGTGTCAGAGGTGGAAGGTGCAGGTGCTGGGCTTGGCCTGACATTCCAAGATCCTGCTGAGAACTCAGCAGGAGTCAGGAGTGGCAAAAGGAGAGCGAAGCCCAGCCAGGCTGCTGGAGGGAGCATGGCACGGCAAAGAGGGGCACTGCAGGGCCAGGGAGGAACTGCTGGAGGGGAAACACAGCTGATTTCAAACAAGGAATGAGTTGTTATAGCAGTGGTTCAGCATCTGGTCCAGCTGTGGCTGCTGTAGCATGAAGGGGGGCTGCTGCCTTGGGAGCAAAACCAGAGGGGAAGCGAGAAATGTAGCAGCTGAGGAGAATTTTTCTGCCATATGCCCTTGGCCTCCATACACCGAAAATGGTGATGCTGTCCTGCCTCCTGAGGATCAGGGAAAGGGGCAGTGTGACTCCTGTCCCCCCCTGGTTGGGTCCTGAGCAATATCCCACTGAGCCTGTTCAGCAGAACCCCGGGGAGGAGGGGGAGCCTTTTGTGTCTCTGCTGTACTAACTATGCAGGTGCTCACTGCTTTGCTGTGCAAGAGAGAGAAGGGAGGAAAGGGCAAAATAGTTCCCCAGCAGCTTGTGGGGGTCCAGAGCACCCCGACCCACACTGTGTGGACACGAGGTGTCAGCATCTGCCCTGGGAGGTGCCAGGGTGGAATCGCTTCTGGTGCTGCACGTCCCTTGCTGAGGAGGAGGAGGAGGAGGAGGAGGAGGAGGAGGAGGAGGAGGAGACCTCAGAGGGGGCGTGTGTCTGTGTCTGTCTGTCTGTGCGTAGTACCCTGTCTGAGGGGAGGAGAACCGTCAACTCTGCGTGTGGCTTCTCTGCCAGTCTTAGTTCGTGGTGTCTCACCCAAAACGTTTATTCGTGTGATTTCCCATGTGAGCTTTTCCCAGCGGAGGGGCGTCCCCGAGGAGGGGGAGCCCCAGGCTGTGTGTGTTGATGTGTTCTGCCCAGGGACCCCGGTGTTGGTCTGCAGGGAGGCAGCAAAGGCCAGGCAGGAGCCCCTGCCCTGACGAGGGTGCAGAGGTTCCCTTGGTCCTACTGCTGGGCAGACCTGGTCCAATCCATGTCAAACCGTCGTCACTTTGATTTCTCTGTAAGTTATCCGACTTATTTATGTGGAACTCTGTTTCTCGGAATTTTTTGCACTACATGGGACTGGGGAGGGGATACAAGCAATAGAAGCCAACATGTACAATAAAGACATTTTCTTGAATACTGGATCCTGCCTCTTGCATCCTTCCTTCCTTCTCACTTCTCTGGCTCACTCCTGGGGAGGCAGGAGCTGCTCTCTGCATTGCCCTGGGCAGAGGAGGGGAAGGATCCCCAGGCAGAGGATGCTCATGGAAGGCTCATGTGCATCTGTGCCTGAGCAGCCACTGATGAGATGTGTCAGGGAGATTTAGGTTGGATATTAGGAAAAGGTTCTTCCCCTGGAGGGTGGTTTGGCACTGAACAGGCTCCCCAGGGCAGTGGTCACAGCCCCAAGGCTGCCAGAGCTCCAGGAGCATTTGGACAATGCTCTGAGGGACAGGGTGGGATCACTGGGGTGTCCTGTGTAGGGCCAGGAGTTGAGTCAATTATCCTTGTGGGTCCCTTCCAGCTCAGGATATTCTAGGATTCTATGAGGTCTCATCTGTTTGGATGTCACCAGTCCAGCATTTTGCACAGAGCAGAGACAGGCTCCCATTCTGGAGCCCACTTCAGACTGGCCCTGCTGATGTGGATGTTAATAGAGGAGACAGCAGGGAACAAAACCAGTTTTGAAGGATCTTCTGTGCTAAAAGGAGCAGCTCTTCCCCCAGCTCCTGGGCCCAGGCTCAGCTGATGGTGCTGGATGCCTGGGCAGGGGGGCTGCTGTCCTGTGGACAAGGGGCTTCTTATTCTCAGAGAGGATGTTGTGCTGGGAGCGTCCACCACTCTGCACACATTCCCTCTGTCCCAGAGAAACAGCAGGGCCAAGATGCTGGTGGTCGTGGAGACCACTGGGAAAAGCCCAACTCAAGGCATAGAGGCTTCAGAGGCAGTCTGATTTACACCTCTCCCTGCCCATTAAATTCCAGTTTGGTCTCCCCAGGACTCCCAGTGCTGTTGACAGCTTTTCCTGCAGTGGAAATGAAAACCAGATGAGAGACATCCTCCTGCACCCCCAGCTGCCACACGCAGCTCGCCCAGGGGCTGCACGGCCCCATTCTGCTTCCCAACTGCTGCCAGTCCCCGCTTCCCAGGGGGAATGCCGAGCCCATTTCACGGTGTGGGGAGTTCAGGGGGTGAAAAGAGCAACGAGAACTGCCTGGCAGCATCCCCTGGGGCCCAGGAGGGAACTTTCCCATGCGTGTGCGCCGCGGTCGAGCCGCGATGCTGCGCGGTCGGAATGCCTGGCTCGGCTGGAGCCCTGCCCGTGTCCTCTTTCCTGCTGCTCTCTAGGCTCCTGCTTCTGGTTGGGGCTTCTATAAATAACTGCCATGCTCCAAAAGCCTTCCTGAAGTCTGGAGGCTGCTTCCCTCCAAGTTCAGGTTCTCCTGGAAGCAGAGCCAGTGTGCCCTCGAGCTGGTGTGCCCAGCACGCAGAGAGGGGACTGTCCTCAGCCACTGGCCCTGCCATCTGTGGTGGTGTCACTGGTGTCCCAGCGAGCAAAGTGAGGTGTATTTGCAGGACCTGCAGTAGTTCTGTCACTATTTCGAGCTGTAAGGTTTTTATTTAGAACAAACATGCTGGAGGAACGGCACGTTTCTGGTCACAGTCTGACCGTGTTAGCCACGGATCTTAAGAGGAATCACACTTTTCCTGAGTAAAACACAGTTGGTGCTGTTTGCTGTAATTTCTGATCTCTGCCAGGAGGTGCTGTGCTGTCAGATAGTCGTTTCCCAGCTGTGCAGAAAGAACAGAGCTCACAGAAGCACCCTGCCATAAAAATTAGGGAATTTCTGATCGGGGCCCTCTGGAGGGGTGTCCTGTTGCTTTGCTTGGCCATGAAGGGTTAATGGATTATATGACAGAAAGGGGAGGGGGACAGGGAGGCTGTTTTTAAAGGTCAAAGATGGGGAAGCCTTGGAGAAATTTTATGGCATATCCGTTATCAGCTGCTCTCTCTGTGCAATCACCTCTTTGGGGAATATGTTGATTTTGTTTCTGCAAGGTAAGATGCAAACAGAGAGGGCCTAACACACCCAATGTGTCCATAAGACCTCAGAAATAGCCAATCCTGGTTTGATTCAAACAGATACTCTAAGAAAACATCCTCTCCTGGTTTTAAAAATCCCCTGTTGAAGAAATCACCCGGGACTCACCACATGCCCTGGGAGTTGTTGTGGTGAGAAATAACCTTTCCTGTTAAAATACACGCCTTGTTTCCAGCTTCAGCTCACTCACCTTCACTTTCTCTGCATCCCTTCCTGGTTCTCTGCCCCAGCTGGTTGTCACAAGTGTGTCACAAGTCTGTTCCCCACGCAGGT